CAGCCCCGTCCAATCACCTTCCCGGGTAGGCGGAGCTCCTCAGGCTCCGCCCCCTCCCTCAGCAGCGCCAGCGCAAGCTCCGCCCTCGACGCCATGTCTGCCACGAAGCCAATCCGCAGCGGGTCCGCCTCCTGGTGGGGGCGGGGCTATGGTAAGCCACGCCCCCCTTTCAGCATAGCCACGCCCCCTCGTCGCTCAGCCCCGCCCACCTGCAGGGCCCGCAGGCAGCGCCGCATTTCCTCCTCGTGGCCCAGCGGGTCGATGGCGGCCAGCAGGAGCAGCAGGGTCAGCAGGCAGCCTGGTCACATGACGCACGGTCACGTGACCTCACCCGGGGTCAGCTGACCTAAGAGCCAACCCCCCATAGGCACCACACCGACCCCAATGCGCCCCATAGCTCCCAAACATCGCCCCATAGTGCCCCCAATGGGTCCCCAATGACCCCAATATGCCCCCCCATGGCCCCACAGAGCCACCCCATAGACCCCATAGTGCCCCCAATGTCTTCCCAATGACCCCATCGACCCCATAGCCCACCAGCATCACCCCATAGCCCCCATAGTGCCCCCATAGGGTTCCCATTTTGCCCCCAATTGCCCCCTATGGCCCCTCACAGTCACCCAAGGTCAGCTGATACCCCCCCTCCCATATCGGTTTGGTCACATGACCTGGAACTCACCCCAGTCACGTGACCCGGAACTCACTCACCCCGGCTGCGCGGCTCCAACTCCAGCAGCTCCCTGCAGGCGCCCAGCAGCTCCTCCAGCACCGCCCGCTCGGCCACGCCCACTTCCGGCCTACGGGAGGAAGGGGCGGGGCCTATTGCGTGTATGCGGGGGGGGGCGGAGGGAGGGAAGTCCTCCCAGCCGCAAGGGGGCGGTGTTTGGAGGGAGAGAGAGAGCGGAGGCCGGAAGTGGGCGTGGCTTTTCCTGAGGGGGTGTGGCTAAGGATAAGGGGCGTGGCTTGTGATCAACTGCGGCTCCTGGATTGGTTGGAGCGCTCCGAGGGGGCGGGGCTTGGTAGAACCATGCATATAATGAGTGGGGATACAAAGGGGCGTGGCTTGGTTGCTAAAAGGGCGTGGCTTGTGACAAGGGGCGGGGCTTTGTTTTAAAGGAGGCGTGGCCATGAACCCAAAGTGGGCGTGGCTTACCAGAACAGCTCCTGGGGCACAGCAGGCTCCGCCCACCACGCCTCCTTTCCTGCAAGGAAATGGCTTTAATTACCCCCCATGCAAATGAGGTGGGCGTGGCCAAGAGGGAATATAAGAGGGGGGGGCGTGGCCAACCTTTAGGAGACAGCGTCACCTCCCCGTGGGCGGAGCCGTGGCACCAAGCTGCTCTGATTGGCTCCTGCTCCGCAGTGGGCGTGGCCAGGTCGGCAGGCAGCGGGCACAGCTGTGGGCGGGACGCGGTGAAGCCACGCCCATCCCTTCAAGCCACGCCCCCCTCGCGTTTTAGCCCCGCC